TACCTTTCGTGACGGCTCCAACAATAAAAAAAAAACATTGAAGGACTGTATTTTGTACTTATAGATAAGATAGAGATAAACAAGAATAAGGACTGGGAGAGGGCCGGGGGTGGGACAAGAATGCGCCCGCCGCCCGCACCTCTCCCAATCCCCATTCTCGTCCTACTCCGATTCCCTGAACTCCGCAAGCGACTCTCACTCCACAAAAAAATCAAGCGGTTATCTAAAGTAGTTTGATATTGCATCAGAAACAAAATCACATCCGTGGAGGTAATGAAATTATCTTTAACATTTATCTACATAATAATTACACATATATTACCTAATATAAAGAATATATGTACTATTAAATAGTTTTCTTTTGTTCTAACACTATATGGCAATTTTCAATTTATTCCTTATTGTCATCAAATTATATATTTCTTGTTTTTAGATTATAAATTTAAATTGAAATGTCGCTATAATACCATTGACTGAGAAACAAAGACCAGACAATGTTCACTTCTGCTTTACATAATGGTTATACACCATGGCGATATTCCAAATTTAAACATTAATAATAAAATGGACTTTTCTTCTCAACAATACCTTGATAAAATATATGAATAAATACGAATCATTTTTATATGCAAAAAATAAGTTCCTCTTACGTCTACAAGTGGTGAAATAAATGGAAGATGGATAAGGCACCAGGGTATTACAACATCAATCTACCTTTACTGTAAACCAAGAATTATCAACAGCATTCAAGGTAACACTACATCGTATAATATACTATGTCCTAAGCTGTGTATCAAATACCGTCTATGCGTAGCTACAAGTTTATCAAATTCAATAAAAAATCAAATTCATTGTGTTGAAGAACAATTAAGAACCCCACCCAGGATTTTTTTAATGCAACTGAAGTTGTCTATGACCAGAAGATTTTTTTTAAACTAGAGAGCAAAATATAGCAGAGGGATAATAAATAGATATCTCAGTCAAGGTGACAATCGAAAGAAACAAAGATTATAGATTATAAATTGATAAATACAAATTAATTTTAAAAAGAAGGAACAAAAATGAATACCTTTGCTTTCGGTGTTGAAGCTTAAAAAAGTATATTAGCTATACTTTTTTTATTTCAGTAATTGGCACACAGCTTAATTTTTTTACCATTTCATTAATATATGCCTTACTTAGCCACATGCTACACTTTCATACTGGGAAGGGGTAAAAATAAAAATAAATAATTTAAATAACATTTTACTATCAAATAAATAGCAGCTAACAATAGTCATGCTGGGAGTAAAACATAAATCCGGGTAAATGTTAACTCTAGAATATTTGGTAATGGAAATCAAAGAAAAGGTTGTATTAAAAAGTATCATTTTCAAAGATATACGGTCTTATTTACTCTTTATTTCGGGGATATCCCACTAGTTTCGCTTAGACCACCGCTTGTTTGACCACTGTTGCCGGTCTGAAGTTAATTGCGCTTCAGCGAAATATATCCGTGAGCAAAATCGTATATCTTTAATAAATATTCAATATTTACAAAGAGGGGTTTGGTGACATTTTTAATTTCAATACGCGATGTTTTAAAAGTTATTTAAATGACATTAGTTGGTAAATCGGCAACGCAATGTGAAATAGTCTCACTTCACAATTGCCCACCTAAAACAATGTTAGCATTTCAGTCTGTAAAACATTGTACAATATAATTAATTTATATACTTACTTATAAATAGTCAAATGACATTTCTTCATACTCGGAACCTTGACTAAGAGTCTGCAAAATAACATTGATAACTTTTCAGATCAAGATCCCACAAAACACACAATTAGTTTGCCTCTTTTACAATTTTGTGCACAACTATAGTTTCTTTAATTCCTTAAGTATAGTTCTAATTTAATAATAGAAGACATAGTATGACCTTAACACATATTTCAGGTTACTTGTAGTATTAACAAATACCATTCAATATAATAACAAATGCATAACAATAAAATTAAAGTATAGTAAAATAGCACACAAAATCATGAACAAAACAATTAAATATATCGACAGTGACATTCTAACAGTGCATAAGTCAAAAATGTCAACATTAAAAGGAGAGGGCAATAAAGCAAGGTTCACTGAAGGTGAAGCAAAATTTCGTAAGCAAATAGATGGATTTTTTTAACAATATGTTTATTCTCTCTCTCTAACAAATCTCTTGGATTATTTTCAAGATCACAAATCCATAAGCACTTCACTAACTTACGTTGTGTTGACCACGTAGGTTTACTTACTCAATATCCGTTTCATTGAAAATGCGGCGCTACGGATAAGCTATCTGTTTTCTGACAAATCAAAACCAAGCCCGTGATCTTTCTTCTACGAATGGCACAAAAAGTTAAAACAGCAAAGAAATGTTTACGTAGTGTTAGAACTACACTGACGATTTGTATAATAGAATCTTATGGCAGTTAATGCTATGAAACTTAATATCATTTGCCCCAACTGTTTTAGTAACTACTTCATATATAATATTTTTACACTTACAACTTCTAATATTACATAACACAACTTATAGTGCATGTTATTTTTAATTTGCAGTTAATATTTAGTGATTTAGTAATGTGTTATAAGCAACAATAAAATTCTGAAAAATGTACGAAAGTAACAATAATTTAAATGCATTTCATCCAATGTTTTTTTTAAATATTTGGTCAAATAAAAAATAATTGTATTATGAATTTTAGCTCTGCCAGTCAAAGCAATAAAAAAAACCACATAGGATAAAGGGCCTGCTATATTTGTCAATAAGAACTTACTGTATTTATTCCAGCTATTACAACATAGTTCTTTATAAAAAATATTTCAAATTTACACAGCATGTTTTTCAAATTTATTAACACTATATATATAGTCTCACCAGATTCTTCTAGTGTTTACAACCAAATAATAAAATATGTTTTATAATGACATACTAAGCACCAACGTGATATATTTCACACTTAATAGGGTTAACAGTTGGAAACAATTACTGATTTGAACGAGATATGCGAGACAATTCTATGTATTTGGTGTCAACTTATATTTCTAGGAAATAACTTACCCTGAGTTATAAAAAATACCTAAGTAGGCAATTAGTCTTAAATGTTTCTCAACATATTTATAGGAATATCACGTAAGTAGGCTAGTTCGCATCTACAATGCACGGGTTAAATCTAAACAGTTTTATTCGTTAATTATTAGTTTATTAATAAAAAATGCATTAGTCAAATAGTTTTTGAGATAATACACACATCAAAAAAGTCTAAGCAACACGCTTCATTTACAGAAACTGCATGTTCTTTTTTTCTTTGATATTTTATTTTTTTCTTAGTAAAGTAGATTGGTATACAACCTTTTTTATGTTCTCGGTAACATATTCTGGCTGATTTAAAAAATAGAACCTTTTCGATTATTTTGTTTTCATTAAAATAATAGCTAATTCTTTTTTCCGATTTCATGTTTTTTCGTTGCTTGATAAATTTGGTATTTATCTCACTCATTAAGTGATGCGTCATTTTTTATGTCATGGAGCGACGCCATTTGACCACGGATGAAGTGCCAAGAGCTTTCATCATCACACTCCTATTCTCACCATTGTGGTGTCAATAAAAGTGTGATTTGTCGCAATAGTTGTGAAGTTGGCAGCGTTATGTTAGTACAGGGGATTCTGCTGAGCAGCACCTAGGACATGGAAGGATTACAACTGCTCGACAGGACATACATAGGATACATTCAAGTGACTGTAAGACGTCAGCCGATGTTAACCGCCCGGGAGATAGGTGTAAAGCTTTAATTCTCAAGCTGTGTTGTTGTTAGCCACCAAACTGTGAGAAATAAGCTGCATGAATACGGCCTACGAGTACGACTCTAAATTAGGTGTCCACCCATGGAAATCGCGCCCGTCGAAACGAAAGGTGAAAGAATACTTGTCATAAATCCAGGAGCAATGGAATAAAATTTTATTTTGCGATTAGTCCCGGTTTGGATTTAGGCCTGATACAAGAAAGGTAAAAGTGTTTCGTCGTCCCGGAAATGCTTAAGGAAGTGCACCCTCACAGTAGCTCCACCGTTAGGGTATGGGCGGGTTTTATAAAGAACAAACGAACTGAGCTCGTTTTTGTAAATGGCAACATGAACGCTGAAACTTACGATGAAGATGTCCTCGGGCCTTATGTACACTCATTTACACAAAGTCCGCACGTTCGCATACAGCTCGGAGGTCCAGAGAGTACTTGGCAATGGAAAACATCCGGGTATTACCGTGGCCTGCACAATTGGTATTGGTTGTGGTTCGGTTTCCGCATTTAGACTCAAGAGTGGTTCTTTATGCGTCGAGTACTGGTTAGCTGGGTGCGCCGACCGAACTCCTTCCAGAAGCGCAGGCGCTCACAGGCGCACAATCAAAAGATCTCGTCGTCGCATACGCTACCACTGTACCATCGAGGCAGTCAACAATAAACAATGTAATGAAGAATTTTGTTGCTTTAGTCACTAATGTATTAAATATTGTTTAGTTATTATTATAATAGTAAAAAACTATAAAACTTCAACCGGTACATGTCGTTTAGACTTTTTTGATGTGTAGTTTTAGGAATTTAGTGTATATTTTTCTGAGAATGTGATTTTAATTCGATAATATTTTTAGGTTTTTAGTTGTTTCACGGTTGAGGAGTTCCTTTAAAAACGTGTAACACTTTAAAGTCGGACATCTTTAAAAAAGTGATCTCTTTTTGTATCGTCATGCGCTTCGTAGCTGCGAATCGGCCTAAAGTAAACGTGAATCTCAACGGTATCGGTAAAAACGAACGGTGATATAAAACACTCATAAAAGCAGATCACTACGAACGGCGAACCGCCGAGCCGCCGAGGCTTCACAGCACAATGTAAATATATAACTCGCGAACAACCGTATCTAAGTATGTACATGGAACACACGTTTGAAACAGTCGGGTAGGTGGAAGGTCGCTCGGCGGCGGCGCTAGGCGCGGGCGGGCAGCGCCAGCGACACGAGCAGCGGCGCGGCGCGGCCGGCGGTGATGCCGCCCACCAGCCCCGACACCAGCACCGCGGCGCCGATCATGCCCGCCGTGGACGCGTTCTCGGGCGCTACGTTTCTGCGAATCATAATCTAGCCTTATCATAACCAGTAAACGATCGTTTATTTTCATAATATAGCATAGTTAGTGAGCGAAATAAATATTATATGTAAATTTAACCATTCGTATTTTATTATTAAATTAACGCTTTAAACTAGTCCTTTTAACCTATTTTTTTATCTCTAATGTATCTAACAAAATAAAAAACAAACAAAATCTAATTAGTCTATTTGAAAATAACGTATTATTTAACGTTTACCGCCCAGAAGAACGTTCAATATGTCTATTGAAATTTCTGCATCAAACCACCGATTAATAAAAGCTGTCGCGATACTAACCTGGTAACGTACATCATGCCGAGCGAACTGCCGTGCCCCGAACTCCAGCCCAGCAGAGCGGATGCGACCCAGTACACCCAATCGTTTTTGATCAAAACTGGCAATTGACGACCTTTTACTTGATAATTACATAGTAAGAAGAAAGGAATGAACACCAAGCGGGCGGTGGTAAAAACTGGTAGTAACCGTGGCCCAGGCTGAAACAGCAAAAAATTAAATGTATTAGATAAACACATGCATGTATAGGTATAGGTACACAAAGTTTTTTGCACAAATGTAATGTTTGTACTATTGTAAACGAGAAATAATAATTTTCTTTTTTAACCACTATTATAAGTTGATGTTAAAATAAAAAAGGCAATACATAGGTAATCGTTTACATTACCACTATTCTACTTTATTAACAATGTATTGTAACTTATGTGAAACACTAGGTCTGAGGCTTTCTAGGTCTATCTTTTTAAGACAAAGACAAAGAAGCGCCCTCCTTTATGTTGACTGCTATCCCAATAGAGCGTTAAACGCCAAGTTCGATAACATTGCAATAAGCGTTGATACAGTATGACTGCTGCATTATTTTACCGCCTAATGGTATGTTGGGTTTTCCTTTATAAAGCAATCCCTGTACCTTTGTTCTCAGTAAATATGATTCTCATAGTTTTGTTAAAAATGGACGCTAGAAAAGCCTGATCTGATATTATACTGTGTAGGTATGAAAGCAAATTTTAAATAGTTTTAAACAAAGCTTTTTTTAAAATTTCTAAATTCAGTAAAAACACTTACGAATTGCCACAAGCTCGCCGTTACGTTGCCTATCATTGCCATAAAATTAAATGTGAGGTAGCACGTTATCGTAACGAATATATCACCGAGAAATCCTGGTTCCGATGGCTGGATAGCTGTGAATACAAAATTAAATCATTTTCCTTTTTGTTCTTTTTTTTTTAAATAACTCCCGCATTAGGAATATATCCAGAGACTTTACAAACATCTTATCTCATCCCATCCCAGATTTTTAACAACAATTTGTGGATCACACAGTGTCGCCGACACTGTGGGGATCGGCCCCACAACACTCAGCGTAGTAGTAATCGTGACCGCTTAAACCACTACGCTATCCGTACAGGCAAGTTTTTTATATAACTTCATGAAATATGAATATTACTAATAGATTTAGATGTTAATAAGCAAGTATTTTGTTTAAGATTAGTTACTGAATACTATGTATTATTTTTAAATCGTCATTAATTACAAAAAATATTCATTGAAATGTGCAAAAAGGGCTACAAATTCGTACAACGCACAAAGCACAAAGCAAATGTATTAAATGTTATTTAAAAAATAATTTAAACATTATATTTTTATTTATGTAAGGATGATGTAACGAGTAAAAGATCTACTTGGATAAATGTGTGCATTATTAATCTGATAATTTTTATTTTTACAACACAGTGCCATAGGAATATTTAAAAAGTTACATTCTATTAAGTATAACACCCTATCCGGCTTGTGAAACTGACATTAAAAACACGTTATGGCGGCGCATCTTCATACATATCCATAAAACAGTCACGTTGACAAAAGCCACTCGTGAGCGCCCTATTCTTGGCGGAGAGGCAAAGTGACTTAAGCTGTCGATCACGACATATACATATACATTATTTGACAACAGAATTATGCAAAAATTAGCTTTTCAAAATGCTTTTACTTGGTATTGAATTGTTGGTATTGAACATATTAAAACCAAAAAATTACACTGAAGTAGTAAATAATGCTTCTAACAAATAATTCTCACTATATTAAGAATTTACATATATTACATGTAATATTAATTTTAACAAAAAAAACCTTTCTGCCGTTCTACAAAATAATTTAAAAATACATTGAGACATAAATAGTAATACATATTAGTTATGTCGCAGAACTTAGGTGCACACAAATTTATTTTAAACAAATCTGCATGTGTTTTAGTAGAGCTTTACTATACCCACCTGTTATTGCGACAAAGTCACTTTTTTAACATTGCCGCTGCGTTGGGAGTGGGATATTATAAACACTAGTAATATAGAGTATATATCTATGTTCTCATACAAATTGAAGTATTTGTACATTTTGTCCTAACATCAACTTATGTATTCGTCTTCAGAATCTTTAATCTAGACGGCTTCTATTTTAGAAAGCCGAAAACAAATTAAAAAGTAACATACATAGTAACTAGAAGCTTTATAAATAAATTTCTTACCTTCCATAACAGCTGGAAACACGGAGAGCGAGACGAAGAACGTGATGAACACGTTATACAACTGTATTGCTGACTGCAAGAATATTGTCCCATACGGAGTGCGCGACTTGCCGGGGCTCGCGGCCGCGTTGGTCGCCGCCAGCGCCGGGTTCACGTGCATCGTGCGCTGTTGTAGGGTGTCGTGGTAGCGATAGAATCTCTGTAAAACGAACAATTCTTATTTATATCCATTATTGAGTCTAATGAAATGGATTTAATAATGTGTTAGGAAAATTGAATATATATTGTATATTGTATGTACGGCATGGTTTCGTTTTTCATTTGGTATTTTTAGACCATTATTTTCTAGAGGCAGCCTTTAATAAACCCTATTTTAAGCTGTTTAAAATTTTTCGTATACCTAGGATTTCCTGTTTAGGTTACACCTAGTTCCTCGTCTAAAACTAGTACTCACGTTGAGTGGCAAGGCGAAGAAGGTATCGAAACAGATGAGCAGCACGAACATGCCGCCGATGAAGTAGTAGATGGCAGAGGTGCGCAGGTTTTGGAAGCCGCGCGCCGCCAGCGCCAGCAGCGACACGAGCGTGCCGCACACGTTGGAGCCGAGCACCACCGCGCCCGTGTAGCTCGGCGGCAGACGCGCCGCCATGCCGTACACTGAGTTTTGGAAGATCGCGTTGAACGCTGAAACAATCATTGTGGTCGTCACTGCTATTCTGTTATAAAATTTTATACAAATTTCTTCCATATTAAGGCATGGTACGAGGTAAAACCGAGTTCGAGCGCTAGTTGGTCTCGCATACGAATTGTTAACTATACATGTTTTAGTTTATGATATATAAATATATGGTATGTGTGGTATCAAGTCTAAAATGACTGATAGATGAAGGTCCGTCCTTTGTAATGTGAAATACAGAAAGTATTAATAAAAAGGCTATTTCGTTTATTAGTACTTGTAAAATGCAATTTTAGTATCATTAAATTTCTCCTTGTTACAAGCAATAAAGGATGTAAAACATAATACGACGTTATCTGTTATTGTTGTTATCTGGACCCGAAAACTTTTACTGTGGACTCTAGAATACTTAAAAACATACTTAGATACATTTATTAGTAAATACACGCAGATTATACTTTTTATAGTAATAATATATAATATAATGACTGCCTCGGGAATCAAACCCACGACCTCTGGCTTAGGAGTCAGAATCCGCTCGGAAACACGTTCCGTCCTTCTCTTCTATTTACTAATTGTCGAACTTTCATTGAGAGGAATATGAGTAACAATCTTCCCAACAATATAGAACTAATGTTCTAAATACAATATAAGTTACTTACTGTTTAATAAAAACACAGTGACGATAGTCAGCCAAAAGAAAGTGACTTGCCATTGGGAACTGTCTACCATGGCAAGGATGATTGTAACCACGAATATTAACACTTCCATAGTTAACGACCACACAATGCGAGTCGTTAAGCTACCACTGAAACAAATATAAAACAGTTTGTTAAATATTGTACTGATTAAAAAACTCTGACACCTAATTTTTTATATAAAAATTCTATTGAAATTTAACATTTGACAAAACATTAAAAGTACATTAAAAATTGTGTTGACTACGTATTAGACCATGTATGTCTAGATACGTAATAGACACTTAAGGCTGATGTGCATTCAAAAAAAGCGTTTGTAGTTACAGCACAGTCGATATACACATCATCATCATCAACATCATCAACACAGCCTTTAATAGTCCACTGGGAAAAAAGGAGGTTTTGGCCTGTTATACAACGCTGGCCAGACGGGTTGGTATAGGGTTTGTGTCAAGTTTTCCTTCTCTCTGCAGTGTTGTTGTCCTTCGTAGTTTGCTCCCTTAGTCGGCTCTTACGACTCCCACGGGATGAATAGGGGTGGTGACAGTCTGTATTCTTAATCCGTCACCACACGGTATACACAGCGACAGTGAATAAGGAACTAATAGTTTAAGTGGGACAGTATTTTTTTCGCCGCTTTCACAACATTTACAGTCTATCTATATATTAATTTTAATCAATATTATATAATCAATATATAACTTTATTAATAATTTTTGTTTTAATTTGTATTCCATGTATTAAATATAATAAAAATTAACGAGGTGTAGACACATTGTATAATTGGCAACATTATGGGCAAGGCAACAGCTTATTGGCAACCGTTGACTGGAGAGAATAAGGTTTATTTTGTGCTCAGTGTCTAGTGCATGAAGATTACATAGGTAGAAATATCACTATTTTCAAATTCAAATCTGCAAAGTAAGAGTACTCTCAAGAGTCTCACTCTGTCTAATGCCTGCATGAAAAATTACTAGAATGGCAGCAATAATTATTTATATATGACAATTTGCTAAGGTTATTTGAATTAGATCGTTTTTGCGGCCTGCATCCAACGGTTTCCGGCAACCTTTACCAGGTCGTCCGTCCATCGGGTAAGCGGTCGTCCCACACTGTGCTTTCCAGTACGTAGTCTCCATTGGAAAACCGCAATCAACCGTTATAGCTGGAAATCATTGGGAGAGGCCTATGTCCAGCAGTGGACAAGAATAGGCTGAGGTGATGATGATGATGATGATGATGAATGTACATTTACATAAATAAAGGAAATGGTTACTTACCCTATTTTAACAAAAACATTTAACCAATTGAAGGCTAAGTTGGGTATCTGGGAGGCCCATCCGACATACGTCAAAAAGTTTGTTGAAAGATCCGGCTCATTAACTAACTTATATTTTTTAAAGTAATCTGTGGCTGTGATGAACATGTTCCATCCGATTAAAGTCCCCAACCCATGGATAATCAACGTCAAGTATATAAGGTTCCATTTGTCTTTGGGGGGTGCCAGGTCCATAGCTATATCTAAAAAAAATTAGATTATTTAAATTAGATTAGATTAGAAGCGAAAAATGATATATTTTTTTACACAGAAAAAGTTAATTACACATAAGTACCAATAAAAATAAAATAAAATAATCTGCACGTGCAGGACTAAAGTCGCTACATTTATATTTTTAAAGACTTATCTTGTTCTTACGAGATCAATTTTCTCCTCATTATATACTCCGTTTGTTTTAATAAAAACATAGTAAATGATATCATTTGACTAAATATTAAGATGGCCAGAACATTATATCGAATATTATATTATTGATTACGTTTGGATTTAGTGCATTACGTGTAATTGCCCAAATGTCTATTATATTACTCTGGCCATTATATATTACTGATTGCGTTTTAGTATACATAGGTCTGACTTAATATAAGTGAACTGAAAGATGATAAAAAATATTTCAATTACTGAGAAATATACAGAATGGGGTCGTCGTCTGATGTCAATGTCAGAGATCAGTGACGGAATATAAGCCGACTAGCGATGTGTTAAATAAGTTGAATCTCGAAATATTCTGAATAAATGTTAATTGACAGATCTGTATAATAATATGACGAAAGTTTCTAACAATAGGGGGTGAAATAAGTAAGGGATAGGAAAACAGTTGACAAAAGGCTGATAAAAATATTTCAATCTAATCTATAATTTCAGTAGTCGACATTTTTTGTCTATGATTGTCTTTTTAGAAACGCTTTTATTAGCTTGTACTGTATGTATCTATGTAACGAAATCTTTCAACGCAATTTTCACCTACTTCAAGACGTCAAATTGATTTGAAACTTCGCACACTTATCAAGGACCGATGACAATACAATAATTTGATGAATTTTTTTCCTGATCAAGATCTTCAGGATTAACGGCTTTTTCCATACCTAGAAATACGGTAGTGTTTTTGGCTACGTACAAGAAAAGGGTGTTGAAGCATGTGAGACTTACTTGTTACTTTTTTGGTCTTAATAAAAAAATAATTATCATTAATGACTAAAAAAGCAGAAATAAATTATAGTTTAAAAAAAATAAAAAACAAACACTTGTAACCAGGCCGAACTAAAAAGTGGAAAATAATTTTCTATAAGTTCAAAAAGAAAAATCATTTTATCGTAAAAAAGTTTAATTAGGCTAGTTCGAAAAGCGTGCTTTTTTTGTTTTTTTTAAACTATAATTTATTTATTAGTAGAGCTTTGATGAGCTTTAGTGCTATCAATTTAAAAAACTTGTTGATAGATACTAAACCTAGTTTCCTTTTCGCTTCTCTGATTTTGCCCTCGTCTATTTTATAATGTGCTAAACTTCTGGGCGACTAACTAATAATTTTCATCTAACTATAAGTATACAAGCCACTCCGTGTATCTTAAGTGCTTGCACTTGGAGCTGATTGGAAAACATGTCTGACGTTAAATTACCTTTCAAATTGAGCGTGTCATTGGGCAGGTTGGCGCCCTCCCACGCGGGTGTCAATTTCACTGGTTCGTTGCGGAGGAAAGGCGCCTTCTCGTCCGCACCATCCCAACCTGGAAACAAAATGTAAACATTGGTTAATCTCTTAATAGAAAAGGAGACATTAATTTGAAGATGAGTTATACCAGCAAGACTCCTTAACAATCAATCAATTGACCTAACCTGGCAAATTTCCGACTACAAGAATAAAAAATAAAATAAAATAAGATCTACATGTAGCAAGTGTTAACATAATAACTTGATTACTAAGTAATTATGGGCAGATTATTTAGTGGACGTATTCGCTAAATAATCGACTAATGGCCATAATTACTTTGGTTTTGGGTTATTTTAGCGTTGGATATCAAATTACCACAGTAAGCTAGCAACCTAATATGTAATTAAAATTAATGCAGTTGTCTCACTAAATAGGTTAATAATTACATAAAGTTGCAATGTGTATGTTGTCTCAAAATATGTAGTATCAAATTAGCAATTACTCTTAGTTTTTCTAAACGTTTTGTTGTGCAAAATCACTGTAATTAGTGCAAAATTTTTATGTCTATATTATTATTTATGCAATATATGTTACAGTATCTATAATATCAGTAACATGTGTATGAAAACACAACAAAAACGTGCGAAAGCTTCAGAAAGGAAGAAAGTGAATAATAGCCTACGGCGATGAACGCCATAGAATCTTGCGGAAAGTTTGTTTTCACTTTAACCTAAGAATTTATGTGCAGTTGTTACGCGAAGGGTTACAGTTAGAGTATTTCAATAACTTCTTTGTCTTGACCCTCCCAAAATGCCTCTACTGCGGCCATCACTTCACTATTGTCCTCAAATTTGTTGCCCCGGAGGTGTTCTTTGAGCCGAGGAAAGAGGTATAAGTCACTGGGAGCTAGATCTGGCGAATAGGGAGGGTGTTCGAGCAGTTCGAACCCCGTTTCTTCAATGGCAGCCATCGCAACTGCGGCTTTGTGAGCCGGGGCGTTGTCTTGGTGAAACAGCACTCCAGCGCGCAGTTTACCGCGTCTTTTTGACTTAATAGCTTCTCGCAATCTTCTTATTTTGCCTACGTAGTAAGAGCCTGTTATAGTGGCCCCCTTTTCCAAATATTCCACCATAATAATTCCTTCTGCATCCCAGAAAACAGACGCCATAACCTTTCCCGCTGAACTTGACACTTTGAATTTCTTCGGTGTTGGTGAGGAAGCTCGTTTCCAAGTCATTGATTGTTGTTTGGTTTCGGGATCAAAGTGGTGGATCCAGGTCTCGTCCATGGTCACAAAACGCGACAAAAAAATTCTTTATCGGCCTGGAACTTTTGAAGATTCACCCTCGAAATGTCGACTCGTTTCTTTTTTTGCTCGTCGGTTAACATTCTCGGTACCCAACGCGCAGAGACCTTTTTCATATGCATTTTGTTGACAATGATTTTTTGAACGCCGCCATAGGAGATCCCTGTGACCTTAGCTACATGCCTTACGGTCACCCTTCGATCGGCCAACACGATATCTTCCACTTTTTTGACGTTTTCTCCAGTAAGGGACGTGGAAGGGCGTCCCTCGCGATGTTCATCTTCAGTGGAGGTTCTGCCCAGCTTAAATTCCTTTGCCCAGCGTGCGACTGTGGAATATGGAGGAGCAGACTCCCCCAATGTTTTCTCAAGTCGCTGTGTATGTCTTTGGTAGACATTTTTTTCAGGCAGAGGTACTTGATGACAGCTCTTATTTCATTTTTCTCCATTTTGATGTTTTCTCTTCGACAGTTCGTATTCAAATGAATGTATCTCCCGGTAATGGTGTCCTATTTATACATTTTTTTGAAGCTGAAGTAGTGGATATATAAGCAAGCAGAAAAAAAATAATTTGGGTTTTTGTGCGTTCTAGAAATACTCGATTATCATTACTTATTGATCACCCCTCGTATATACTATAAAGTAGGTACCTTATATACTTTGACACCTTTCCAATGTTTATCGATGTTGTCATGAGTGTCGAGAAAGAAAAAAAGTTAACAATTTAACCCCAATTAGTTTGCAGTTTAAGTAAGTACTGAATAATTAAATTAAAAATGTAAAAAAGCCCCCCGACACCGATTTGGAATTTGTCATAGTGTATAGTATTCTACTAGTCAAGCCCTTTCATTTGATACCCATATTGAGGAAGTTGTGAAAAAAAATTGTAATTCGCTAATTTGTTGCGGCGGCCATCTTAGACCAATTTTCATCAAACATAGCTAAAAACACTCCCGCACACTAATTCACCTTTCAAACAAAAAATCAAAATCGGTTCATCCGTTCAGGAGCTACGATGCCACAGACAGACACACACACACAGACACGTCAAACTTATAACTAACTAAAATATGACAAGATATGCCTAGGTTTATTTCTTAATATAAATAATACGTACGGTGGAGGTACCACATTTAATCTGTTAAAAATACTTTGGAATGGTCATTTGATTTAGGTGCGAGTTGTAAGTTTTCCTCCTAAATTACTTCTTGACATTTATCCAAAACAAAGTTTGATCGTTCAAGTATCACAAAAAGCTAGACGTAGCAAGTAGGTCACAACTTATAATGTAAAGTTACCGTATTATGTAAAAAAGTTAAATACACTGCAGCACACTAATTTCCTTCACAATAATAAATTATTCTTGTAATTCTTTTTGTAAATTATTATTACCGAAGTTTTATATTGATGTGTTTATAAATGTCACAATGGTGTTAAATATATATTTTCTTAAATGGGTTGTTCCAAATAATCACATTATTTTACAAAATACAATACGTCCTTTGCCGGCACGGTTCAGTTTCTATTAAATCACAATGGCTATTATCGCTCACACAATTTGTAATAAACCGTTATCGTTTACAAATAGTACATTCCATACACTATGCTCATTAGATTTTCCTTGCCGCCAAATCAAATTTTAGAGCCAATAACCTGTATTACGAGCGCATAACCACTAACCACTGCACCTTTTTTTGAATCGAATGCATTAATTTCTATTCACAAAACACTTGGTGAAAGAGAGGAAGAAATAAAATTATAACAGAGCTGTCTAGCCCATCGGGTCCAGAAAACAACGAGGGTTTCAATTTCCTATGGCTTCTCTTTCAGATAAAGGATATTTAAGTTTAGTTCTAAGCCATAAAATGATTTTTCTTTCTATTAAGTTTAAATATATAATTTTTTTTTTGTTTTTACTCCATTCACACAACGCCATCTAGTCCCAAACTAAGCAGAGATTGTACCATGGGTACTAGACAAATGATATAAATATATATACTTTTTTTTGTAAATACATACTTATTATACTAAGAAACACCCGGACCAAATCAAACATTAAATGTTCATGCACACAAATGTTTGACTTGAGCGGGAATCGAACCCGCGACCTTTGGAATAGCAGTCCGTTACACAAACCACTACGCTATCCGGTCGTCTATTTCTTTTATAATTTATTTTACTACAGCCTTTGTAACTAAATGGGAAAATATGATACGCTTAGTCAGCTTTTACATACCCTACAATTCAATGTTGCGAACAAACAAAGTAACGAACGCAAACTCATTCTACGTTTCCTTTGCTCTCAGTTAAGCAGAAATTATGTGCGATGTGTACGAAATATATGTTGGTAAAGGCCAATAGAGGAATTGTTCCTAATGCGGCCTTTGCCTTTATAAAAATAACATAATATAAGAAGAACAACAAAGTATATGAATCGTGTAATTTTTATTATTTATATAATTATGGTTAAAAGTTGACTGCACGGATGGCGTAGTGGTTTAGCGGTCACCTCGCCGCTTTCTACTGCGCTGGGTGTTGTAAAGTCCCGGGAGTTGGCTTTCGAAAAAAAAAAAACTACTCATAAAATTACTTGACCTGACTGACTGACTGATTCATCAACGCAGAACCTATTCCGCTGTAGCTACAAATTGGCAGCTGATGCTTTTTATGTTGTCAGCACCCACTAAGAAACGATTTTTTGGAAATTTCACCACTAAGGGGCTAAAATAAGGAATCAACTGTTGTGTATTGAAGTTCGTAATTTTCAAAGTTAGAAACACGAAATAAGAAATAATCACGAGTTATCTCATCGATTATCATACAATTTTGGACAAATTTTGTCGGGGATACATCTAAGTGAAATAATAGCTTCCAACCTAAAAATTAGTACTGTTTCCGAGTATAGTGAACTAGCTATTGCCCGCGCCTCCGCCCGCGTAAATGTCAGTTATCGCGGTAAAAAGTAGCCTATGCCTGTCCTATCAAACAAAAATTTTAATCTTAATCGGAACAGCGGTTATTGATTCCCCATACAAACTTCCACCCCCCTTTTCACCCCCTTAAAGGATGATTTCTGGGATAAAAACTATTCAATGTCCTTTCCCAGGACTCGGACTACGTCTATACAAAATTTGATCTGAATCGCTTCAGCGGTTTAAGCGTGACGAATTAACAGACAGACACACTTTCACATTTATAATATTAATTTGAATTAATAGACAAAATCTATATTAACACGAGGTAAGTCGCGGCCAAAAGCTAGTAACTACGAACGCCGAGTTGTTAAGAGATCAGTTCTATAAAGGCATGAATACATTGAAACTGCATTTAAATATTCAATTTAAAGTTAATTTAAACAATTAACCATTACTCATATATTATACTATGCTACCACGAAACTTATTTATTAAAGACGATAAGTTAATTTGTTTGCATAACAAAGTATAATAAATATAAATGATTATGACAACAAATCACTGTTTTCTATTGTTTAGTTAAAGGGTAAAGTCCTACTGTATTAGATAAGGTTTGTAAAACAATGGATTTAAACTTACTCGTATTATAAACTTGTTCAAAGGTACCATAGTTACTCCCGTCCATGTTGGAGCAGAACATTTTTTTCTTGCTAGTGTTAGACATTTTTATTTCGTTTTTTTACATGTATTTAGTTGTTTTTAATTCACTTGTCCAAGACAATTCTTCGATAACCGAGGACATTTTATTTATACACAGTCTTTTTGAATGTTTATATCATTAAATCTATTAGATACG